CGAACGCCCTTTCTAAATGTTACACAGTCTATAACCACTAACACTACATTTCCGGGAATTAATTTCCCAAGACCAAACGGTTTTCGCGCCGTAGTTAGTCTACACGGGCCACGAATTTTGCGTGGTTGTCTTACAGTGCGACTCGTAGAAAGTGCGGACAACATAAAACTTTCTGGAATCGGTATTGTATACTTATACCGATTAATATATATATGACGCAAATTGTTTGTACACGTCGCACAAAGATCCCTTTTATTTATAGGCCCTAGACTTTTTCACGGTGAAACTATTTCTTGATCTCGCGGTGAAACATTTTTGTCTGGGGTTTTGTGATTTCATACAAATTGCACAAGACAACCAGGACTCCCCGCAACTCGTCTGTCTACCCACCGTTTTTTAGCAAAGTACGCGATCTGCGCGCACAGGTCTTCCCCCCTGGCAGCAGGGAACCAACCATAAATTAATATGACTTTTTGAAACCCATCAAATAAATTGAAACAAGTCACTGCGACACAAAACCGATCAAACGATTTTGAAACCGATCAAAGAAATCGAAACAAGTCAATGCGACATGAAACCGATCAATCGATTTTGAAACCGATCAAAGAAATTGAAACAAGTCAATGGGACACAAAACCGATCAAGCGATTTGAAACGAGTCACAAAACCGATCAATCGATTTCGAAACCGATCAAAGAGTCACTGCGACACGAAACCGTTCAATTAATTTATTCAAAATGAGTGAGTCAGTCACGAAACAAATCCTCATTTCAAGAAAAGCAAAATCCTTCAAGATGACAAACGTCACACCGCCAGTACCGGTAGGATCGACTCACAAATATCGAACCTCACAAATATTAGCTTCAGACCTTGAAAAAATGGCGAGGAAGAAAAAGCTCCGACCTGGGAAAGGTGCCATAGCTGAGATCCTGACAAGATTCATCAAGCCAGAACAGCCAAATCCAGGCAGCAAACATCGCAGCATGGTCGTTCTGGAAGAAGAGGATAGAGACGACAATCAAAGGGATAAAGATGACTACTAGAATGACATGGAAAGTAAATACAATTACTCAGGACACTTTCTATTTATCCCCTTCATACGTATCTACAACATCCTCGATCAAAATATCGTATAGTGACATCTCTCTTGTGATTCGATACTGAGCCAAGACGCAACAAGCCTCGAAAGCCGAAGCAAATCTATCTTCATTGTGTCGAAATCGCGTGTCCAAGATCTTATTTTGCTTCAACAGACTGTTGAAATTTTCGTGTCTCTTGAGAGCTCGACTCTTGAAGAGCCTGACACCAGCATTATCGTGTGCGTTGTAGGTGCTCATGTGCTTTGGCTCTCCGTTGTAGCCTCGATCTCCGATGGCAGATTGCTTTCGTTTCTTCAGCTCATCTAATAGTCCTTTTTCCCTAAAGATAGTAATGTCATTAGTCCCCGCTGGAAATGGACCACGCATCCAAAGCAAACGGTTGTCAACAAGTGAGATTCCCAACTCGTAATCCAAACCAGCTTTGTTATACTTGTGAGAATAGTATTTCGGATCTTGGCTCCACTCCTTATGCGAGGGCTCGTTGATCCAACAATGAATCCCATCCACTGTCATTACCCATCTTTTCCCCTGCTGGTAATCGTCTTCCCAAACGATCACCTGGTGCTTCAAGAGCTGAATTTTCTCAATAGTTCCCCAAGCTTTCTCTCTTACCCAATAGTTGGAGTAGTCGAACTGGGACGTCAGCTCTTCTTCGGTTGGATACTTTCGTAGATAGTACAGTCCAATCAAGAAATATTTGAGGTCAAGTATTCCTCCCTTGATCTTTGCGCCTGCAATGTTGGTAATTTGCATGTCAGTGTACACCCAAACTGCAGTGCAGGGAGAAACTCCGAAGTGGTGTTTGAAGCGGAAGACATTAGTCTTTCCCTTGGCACGCTTGATTCGCCTTTCGCTGTAGCCCTTCAGGGCGAGGCCATATTCCATCATCTCCGATGGAGTAACGAGATGGTTGATGGGGGGCTCGTCCATGGAAGAGATTGATTTGATGAAAATGTGCGGAGAGGAAGGCTCTATCCGACATTCAAATACGTACTTGGGCTAATGCTGATGCGTATGATGTGGCTGCGTCAGTTTAAAAAAAATGATGTCACGAAACCGATCAAATTCGAAACCGATCAAATTCGAAACCGATCAAAAAAATTGAAACAGATCACTGCGACACGAAACCGATCAAACGATTTTGAAACCGATCAAAGAAATCGAAACAAGTCAATGCGACATGAAACCGATCAATCGATTTTGAAACCGATCAAAGAAGTCGAAACAAGTCACTGCGACACGAAACCGATCAAAACAATGTTTTTGCCACAGCCATGCCCCGACTCAGGGGTGTATTGAAAACTATTTAGTAGTCAAAGAAGTCGGAGTTTGGAAATCCAGAAACGGTTGGTCGACAGACGAGTTGCGGGGGGTCCAGCATCCTTTGCCTTCCAAGTCTATCAACGGCCAGGACGAATCGGCAATCAACCATCTAGTCACAAGCACACAAGGGAATGTACAATGTATCGATTATGACTGATTTGGTCATTAGGATTGTGATTGTTTTCCAATCCCTGGAGGGACAGCTGAAGAATGGGTGAGAAGAAGTTTGGATCAAAGTGGAGGAGCAAGAACTCGACGTAATGTTTTCAAGCCAGAGCAGCGTATACAGCACGGTGCAGAAGGAGATCGATGGAAGGAATGTTCTGGGCAATGTCTGTCGTGAGTGGGACAAGGCCTATATCAACGATTGTGGAAACATCAACGACTATGGAAAGCATCGTCTTCAAGTCAAGGGTTTCATCCCAATAATGCAAATCGCGGAAGGAGATCCAATTGAACGGCAAAAATGGTTACATGCCCTATTAGCACATATTTTTATCTATTTTAAAATCTACATTTTCAGCCAATTTCATTATCGATATGGTAGCCGAATCTGCACTCTTGTGCCATTGTCGTTTGTTTCCGTGAAAGTCTTTGTTTCAAAAGGACGAGTGCATTTTTGCAATCCCCTTTTTATTTATTTGGAATGCCCCTCCTTGTCTATCTGCTCTTTACATGCGTAAGTACTGGTCCCTACCAGGATGTGCCGTTATTGATGGCTCAACATGACGGATAGATGTAGACAGAATGCGCACAAGCGGCGCCGTAGGCGCCGTGGAAATGTGCGGACCCCCAGAGGGGATGGCTCAAAAGTAGGTTTTTATTGGGGACGGACAAACAAGTACTGACTAAGTCTAAAACAGATGAAAACGGAACTTCAGAATGTACCATTTCGAGTTCTCAAAATCCCCCCAAAGTGCCTGTTGATATACAAGGAACCAAGTCAGATTCCTGTGCGTAGGATTCCGTTGTTCGTACTGGAAATCCCGTACTATTACTTGTACGTACCTTTTACCACGAAAATCTGTAGGGCCAAAAGTATGATGACTAAAATCTGTAGGGCCGGAAGTATGATAGATTTCCAAGTCTCATAAACGCTACAGCATCTCGAAGTCAGCAGAATGTATTGTGCTGAGTCGCAGCTCTAGATATTTGGAATGGATACACGCAGGGCACAGACAGAATGCAGGCTGAGGGACCGATTCAATGTTGAGTTCGCGCGGTAGTGATGCAAATGCTGTTACTGTACCTGTCAGAATGAAGTTTCGCAGATGTTTAGTTGGGAAGTTATAGTCCATATACAGTTCCCCACTATCAACAATCAGCCTCTTGGAATATATGTTGTTGATCTGAGACGCTTGGTGTTGCTGTTGTTGTTGCTGTTGCTGTTGCTGTTGTTGTTGTTGAAAACCGTTTGAAACAGGAGCGGGGATTACCATGTTGGAAACGTGAGATTGTCATGTTTGACGGGATTACCATGTTTCAAGCCGGGAATACCATGTTTCAAGCGGGGAATACCATGTTTGAAACGTGTGACTGTCATGTTTGAACCCGGGAGTGTGAAGTGGGGAATGTCAAACGAACAAGGATTGATTCGGTGACTGAAGCACTTTACTCTGTAGATCATTTGCACGGTGGGAGATCACCACCATCTTCTTTTATTTATAATAATATTGTTGTACCAGCTTGTATAGCAACAAAGGGTCGGCAAAGATCCGCCAAGATTCAATGGTCGCTACTGCTAGTAAACAAATCAAGACACAAAGCACCACAATACCACAGGAATACATATATCTAGATCTTTTAGTAAAAGCTATCATTCGTCTCAAAGAGTAGTTTGACCGAACATCTTGATGACCTTCTGCATTGAAACATGGTATTCCCCGCTTGAAACATGGTATTCCCCGCTTGAAACATGGTATTCCCCGCTTGAAACATGACAGTCTCACGTTTCAAACATGGTATTCCCCGCTTGAAACATGGTATTCCCCGCTTGAAACATGGTATTCCCCGCTTGAAAAATCGTATTCCCCGCTTGAAAAATCGTATTCCCCGCTTGAAACATGGTATTCCTCGCTTGAAACATGACAGTCTCACGTTTCAAACATGGTATTCCCCGCTTGAAACATGGTATTCCTCGCTTGAAACATGACAGTCTCACGTTTCAAACATGGTAATTCCCCGCTTGAAACATGGTATTCCCCGCTTGAAACATGACAGTCTCACGTTTCAAACATGACACTCCCTTTTTTCAAACATGATATTCCCTCGTTTCAAACATGATATTCCTGTTTATCTCCCTGATATCAAATAAGACATCCTCCAAGACAAAAACATCGACAACAACATCAAGCGTCTCAAATCAACAAAAACCAAAATACATTAAACTAGAGCTCTATTTAATAACGAATACTTATCTGTTCTAGGAGTAGCTTCATTTATAATCTTGGTCTGCATATCCTCACAACTGCTGGTGCAACTTAGTTGCGAAATGATGAGCGATTGGCACCACTCCTCCTTTTGCTTTGAATGAATCCAAAGAGAAGATTTTTGTTGGCAGCGGTGAATAGAGGGCATTACGTTGATTCCCATGCAATTCATGTGGCATCCCAAGGCTGATTGTTGACAGTAGGGAACTGCATTTCCCTTGAAACGCATGGTGATTCATTCTTCCAGAACCACTTTACTCTGTAGATCATTTGCACTGTCGAAGAAAGAATATGCTGCTCTGCTTCACAAATAATGAAAATATGGTAGCATCACGCTAAGGGAGAAGGAAAAGCAGCGGCTCCGTCAGCAATCTATGATCCCCTTGAACATCAACCGGTCTAAACATCATTTTGTTCTTGCTGTTTTCCAAAAAAAGTACGATTTTTCTTAGAAATGACTGAAGTCTGTTGGGCCTAAAGTATGATGGGTACGTAAATACCGTATCGTACTGCGTACGTCTGTTTCGGACCGTAAACGGAATCTTCCACTGACGAACCTAGAAAGAAAACTCTAGGGATCGTAAAAAATAATCTCGGATATACTTCCTCCCGTTTTTTGTAAGCTGGAGAATTCCTTTCTTATTTGGACGTCCTTGTTCGTCCGTCCCCCAAACAAATCCACTTTTGAGCCATCCCCAGACATTCCTGGATATACATAAGGGTTAATAACACAGTATTATTCGAAAGCCTTCCCAGACTCCTCTATCCATTGTGGATTGTTTGGGTCTGATAAACCGTTATATTGAGTAGCGAGGTACGAGAGATTCGGGACGAAAAACGAGTACCAGGTACGATGACAAACATGGGGATTTTACAAGATGTGTGCGAAGTTAAACTATCTAACGTACGAATGACGGACACTCTCTGGTCCAATTAACGCTATAACTTTTGTTGTGACCCATTCTTCCTACTGTATCTCTTCTTCTAGGCTGGTTCACGCGTCCGTATCAGTACGTGTACACGTACGATGTATCTCGTATCCAACAGCACAGTCACCTTTATTTGTTCCTGGAACACCCGGCAGATCGATGACTTTAGAATTCGTTGTGGTTCCTTCTCGCGAGATGACTAAATAACAAAGAAGACATTTCTCAGATATAAGAACATCTTGTCATTCATAAATAGTTTAGAACC